GTGTGTGTGTGAGTGTGAGTGTGAGTGTGTGTGTGTGTGTGTGTGTGTGTGTGTGTGCGCGTGCGCGCGTGCGTGCATGTGTGTGTGAGTGAGAGTGTGTGTGTGAGTGTGTGAGTGTGAGTGTGAGTGTGTGTGTGTGTGTGTGTGTGTGTGTGTGTGTGTGTGCGCGCGTGCGTGCATGAGTGAGAGTCTGTACTGCCCTCTGTTGTGTGTGTGTGTGTGTGTGTGAGAGAGAGAGAGTGTGTGTATCTGACCGCTCTCTCCTGCTGCAGGTAAAGGTCCAGAGATCCTGACGGCCGGTCAGAAACTGAATGATAACGAGTGGCACTCAGTGAAAGTGGTCCGGCGCGGGAGGAACCTGCAGCTGTCTGTGGATAACGTGACTGTGGAAGGTAGAAACTCATTCTTCATCAAGCTTCATTTGCTCATGAGCTCAGGTGGGAGGAAGATGAAACTGCAGTTTAATAGCAAACAGTGACTATTTAAAGCCCCGAACCCCACCCACCACAGAAACATCAGCCAATCAGAACGCACAAATGAGTGACAGACACAGCATTTCTGATTAGCTCCTTTTATGACTTTCTTCTTTTTAGCTAGTGGAAAGAAAACATCTGAAATACACATTGAAGTGTTTGTTATTAGACTTCATCTATTTGCGTCTGTAGATTTGAATTACTAAACATATCTTTAAAGAGTTTTTCCTGCACTTCAGCAGCACTTACAGACACCAAGACTTAGAGTTTTTTTCCTCTGTACGTTCTGAAGGTTTTTACTGTGGGGTTTGTTCATATTTCATTCACATGAGGTTTTATAACATTTTATTCCTAAAAACATGTGCATGCAGTTCATGTTGAGACTTTGGTATCTTGACAGATCTGAGCTCAGTCTGAGATCTCTTCTGAAACTCCAGAGGAGACTGAGATTGCGGAGCTCATTTTCAGCAAAGGTCTGCATTTGCATCACGTGGTTTTCCTTGAGAAATAATTGAGATATTAAAGAGATCTTTCTGTGAATAACAAGTTTTGCTTTGCGTTAACAGTGTTATTTTAGTATTATTTATGTACTATTATTGTATTTATTAATATTTAGAATTGCCATTTGGTTTTATAATTTCAGTTTTCAATTAAATTTTAATTGTAGTCATTTTTTTGTGCTTTTGTCACTTTTTAAATATATTTTTTGTAGATTTCATTTATTTCAGCTTTAGTATTTATAGTCCTTAAACTTAAGATAAAACCATTGCTTAATGGCTTGTTTGTGAGTGTTATTTTAGTATTACTTCTGTACTGTTACAGGAATTATTAATATTTAGAATTTACTTTTTGCACATTGATTTATATTTTCATTTGAGTAATGTGTGTGCCTTTTATATTTAACTTTTCTTTATACTTTTGTAGATTTATTTTTATTTAAGTTTTAATTTTAGCAGTACTTCAGCTTAAATGTATCTATAATGTAAACGTTATTTTTAGTATTATATACAGATATTTATTCATATTTTGAATTGACATTTCTTTTTTATGCTTTGTTTTTATTTTAATTTTAGTTTAGGTTTTTGTAATTTTGTTATGTGCTTTTGTACTTGTTATTGTTTATAATTTTAATATTTAATCATATTTTATAGGTGTAATTTATTTTCAGTTTCAGACATTTTAGAACTTGAATAGCTTTAGCGCTCCTCGTACTTGGCTGCAGATCTCCTCTCAGGTGCATCTGGTGAGTGCTAATGGTACAGATGGAGATAAGCGTGTGAAATGAAGATGAGCAGCAGCTTGTTTGTCAGTGCAGAAGGTTTGTATGTGTGGAAGACGAGTGAACACTGACTCACCTCACACACAAGCCCTGCAGAGACTCTGATTGTTCTGGAGAACTGTGTTTCTAAGCAACAGATGTGCGGTGTGGGAGCCAGAGCCGTGTTTAAAGTGCTTCGGCGCAGTCATTGTTCACGCCGTTACGAGCAGTCAAAGAATGCAGCTCATTTTTCACAGTTTTTATCTGCGACGAACACAATAAATGCAGTGTTTTATAATCAATATTTGAAGGGAAATTACAGTAAACGCGGAGAAAACACCAGAGAGCAACATTTACTACGGTATTAGAATAAATAGAGCGCAGGAAATGAGTTTCATTCAGGCAAGAGTGACTCGCTCATTTGTGCTGCGAAAATAAGGACACAGTTCAATCAGAACTCAAAATATAAAACCTTTCTAGAGCTGCTGAACTCTAAAGTAGACAAACAAGTGTGGCATATTCAGAAATCTGCTTCAGTGCGCGAGCATTGTTAAGAAAATCACCTTTATTTAGATTAAATAGTGTATATTAGACTAAGCAAAAACTGCATGTACAAATGCACACTAAGTTTACTGTATGTTGAGCGCAAAAATGTGTGTTTGTTTAGTCTAAATAAAGAATAAATAAAGTGCCGCTGTCAGTGGTGAAAACACAATTATTTCACTGACTCAGCGTTCTGTTAGGGTTTGATAATATGAATCTCAGCGCGTGTTTGAGGTGACCTGTGTGTGTGTGTTTCAGGTACGTTCACTATGTGTTTGACCTGGGGAACGGCCCGTCTCTGATGAAGGGAAACTCGGAGAAGCCGCTCAACGACAATCAGTGGCACAACGTGGTGGTTTCACGCGACACCAATAACGTACACACGCTCAAGATCGACTCTCGCACCGTGACACAGCACTCTAACGGAGCCAGGAACCTGGACCTCAAAGGTACCACACACACACACACACACACACGCTCACACACACACTAACACACTCACACACTCACACACACACAGACACACACACACACGCTCACACACACACGCTCACACACACACGCTCACACACACACGCTCACACACACACGCTCACACACACACGCTCACACACACACGCTCACACACACACGCTCACACACACACGCTCACACACACACGCTCACACACACACGCTCACACACACACGCTCACACACACACGCTCACACACACACGCTCACACACACACGCTCACACACACACGCTCACACACACACGCTCACACACACACGCTCACACACACACGCTCACACACACACGCTCACACACACACGCTCACACACACACGCTCACACACACACTAACACACTCACACACTCACACACACACAGACACACACACACACACACACACAGAGACACACACAAACACACAGACACACTCACAGACACACAGATACGCTCACACACACACACACACTCACTCACACACACACGCACACATGCTCACACACACAAACACACAGACACACACACAAACACACAGACACACACACAAACACAAAAACACTCACAGACACACAGACAAGCTCACACAAACACGCTCACACACGCTCACACACACACACTCTCTCACACACACACACACACAC